GCAGCTGCAGACACGCCCAACCTCTCACCAGCTGCCCCACCTCGACCCCACCCCATCCACTTTGGGGCAACCTTTTGGGGTCAGGTCAGTTTGGTTTTCGCACGCAGCTCCGCTCCTTGGTTGATGTTGAGTTCTAGTCTTGTCATTGTTTGTTTAATTTTGTATGCCGGATATCCCGGCGTGTTTTTCCCCATTGTCCTGCTGTCAACGGAATGCCAACAACAACAACAACCATAACTATAAGAGTGGGCGTCGCCACAGCCTCATTCTCTCTGTCTCTCTGCCACCCTACCTACGCGTATCTCTCTTTCATCAATGTTTATGCCGCTGACAACAAAAGAAATTAAATTGCCAACACTGAAATTCAATTGTATCTTTATGCTGCTGCTGCTGCTCTCTCTTCTCCTTTTGCCACACTCAAAATTCTTCAAGCTGCTGCCAGTCGCCTGTCGCCGGTCACCGGGTGGCGCTGGGGCGTGGCATGACGACATCTTGAATGGTTATTGCCGCTGACTTATTGGGGCATGGCATTGATTTTTTTGCTGCTCGCCTTTGTGGGGCACAATTGTAGGAAGTAAACATTTTCGGCGCTCTCAATTTATTAAAAGGCGCGTCAGGCAGCCATAAAAAGGTCAATGATTATTATGTTTCCCATGCAAATCACCAGGAGTGCTGCCACCCCACACACCCACACACCCACACCCAGCAGCAGCAGCAGACAGTGGCCAAAAATAGAGACAGCTCTGTGCTCCATGGAGCACAGCCGTCATCTATGGGACATGGCAAATTGTTTGGATTGGCATTGAGGCGGTTTTGAAGTGGCTGCTGCCGTTCGACTCGCTTTTTGATGGGATTTTTGTGGTGCTTCTCCGTTCAGGTTCAAAGCAACCCGACCAAGACCTCGTTGCCATTGACTGCACTGATTGGCTGCCCTAATAGTTGTCATCAGAATCTGGAATTTAAAGTTCTATCCGCTCTCTGTGTGACAATTTAATTCACAATGCGAATTGTCTGCCATTTCGCTTTTCGTTCGCTTTTCCTGCCATAAATCATCATTTAACACAACCTGAATTTCCGCTCTTGTTTGTTTACCATTTACCATTTTCCATTTCCCATATCCAGTTTTCCATTTTCCCACTTTGCACTTTCCTTTTTGCCTCACTTTTCGCCAAAGTCTACTTTGAAGCGCTTAAACTGCAATTAAAAACATTAAATGTGCGCATAATTAAAAAATGTTTCCCTCTTTATGACACATTAACATATTTGCGTATGGCATTTTTAAAACTATAACTGCCACCATATCCCGCCCCTTATCGGATCTCGCTTGATGTATTTAATAAAGCCCGACAAGAGAAAGCGATTAACGGGGGAGCCAGGGATCCAGTGAGCCTCTGCTTTTGCCTCCTTGCCTGCCTGGGCAGCAAACATTTGCCCTTTTGGGGCCTGATGTCCAAAAGGGCCAACGGCATGGCATGATGACCATGTCACATTTGCATTCCAAAGGCTATGGCCTCCCCCTACCAACTGCCATCTAATTCGGAGTTGCTGCGGCGCAATGTTGCCACAGTGGCTGGGGCATGGTGGGCGGGGAGGATATCCGAGAGATGCATTCATCAGACGCATTCGCATTCGTATTCGCATTCGGTGCATTCGATTACAACATGCGTATAATTGTCCAATGCTAATCAAAGCGAAATCGTGCCCAAGCCAGCGGCCAAATCGATTAACATGCCAAGGCATTGTCTGAGATACATTTGCACGAGACGGGGACGGGGAATGGGGACGCTTTGGCGTTACACATTATTGCCATTATCCAGGCCGCAAATGCCTGACCCATTGGAATGCCAAGCAACTAATCATCGCAGGGTTATACTTGGGGTACATCCATAAACATTGATGCAAGACAATTGCGTTTCAAACAGTGGAAAACTTCTACCTAATCCTGATATTATTTTATATATCAAAATAATCGCTTCATATTTATTTGTCATCAATTTTATACCTTCACAATTGTTTGCTGTATGTCAGAGTGTTTTTTTTTTTTATCCTAGAACATTTATTTCCGCAGCGTAGTAGACTTTCTCCCTGTCTCGGGGCACAAGTTAAATTGCATTAGAAATGTCTTTAATTGACACCAAGGTAACGCATAAATTTCAATTGGGGCTCCTCCGTGTGTGACAAAGATACAGAAGCACCCAATATGGTGAGAAAGAGATAGGGAGTGAGTGAAATAGCTAGATAGACAGACAACATGTAACCGGAAATTGTGAGAATTCTATGGAGGGCGACACGAGACGAGAGGAGTGAAACGTAGATACGGCCGCACTCGGCATGTGTGAGAGAATTATTATCTTGTACTTGGCCATGTCAAAGGAAATTTGCATTTTTCGGTCTGACAAAGGGCGGCAAACAGCAGCCCAGAGAGGCTCCACAGAGGTAGGTGTGGCAGCAGCCGACATGGCTCTCTGCGGTGCGATGTCAACGTGTTCGTCGTGCTCGGCGTTACCAATACCAAATTGTCTGCCACAATAGACTGACAAGGTGCTCACAAGTGTCTGTCCTTCCGAATGTGCCTGTTCTGTGTGTTTTAAATAGAGCAACAATGTGCATTGACAATGAGATGAGAGCTGCCAGCAAATGTGACACAGATAGAAACTTTTAAATGCACAGGACAAAACAATTGCAGGCCAATGAGTAAATGTGGAGTCTAACAACCTGTTCCTAGGACTTGATAGCAGCTGGGTTGTGCATTAATTAAATCTGCAGTCTTGTTTAAAATTAAATTACCCTTTCATGCGAACTAGTTTTACCTTTAGAAGCTGTTTTTGCTGAGCGCATTTATGTCATAATAATTTCTAGAATTTTCTATAATTCCCTTCTGCAGAAATTAATTAGTTGAAAGCTGTAAGCTCTTTTCCCTGCGGACAATTTAGTGCTTAGTTCAGGAATATGGCCTTGAATCAGTCGTAAACGCAGAATTGTATTCAGTTATAGCTCTCGGGGGACCGAGCATAACATTACACACCCATATCGTTTCCCTCCCCAAGTGTTACCTCCGCCGCCAAACCGCCCATTTAATTGTGCGGTTTCTCAGCCATTTTTATGTGTTTTAATTTTCATTGGAGCACTAAAAACATGTCAGCGTCGTCAATGTCAGTCATACCCATCTGGTCGGACTGCCTCTGCAAGGGGAATGCGAAGAGGTAGGGAGTCGGAACAACAACATAAACAACAACAACAACAAGCGTCTGAAGAGGCTAATAAACACTTTTATAAAATTCTCGAATCGCACGTGTTGCGTTTGTCAAGGGGTTGCTGTGGCTGCAGCCACGACATGGGACACGGGACACGGGACACGGAGACATACAAAATACAATAAAACTGCTAAGTGCATGGGCATGTTGTGCCATATAGCTCCATCTAGCTCCATCTAGCTCCATCTAGCTTCTGTATGCATTAATCGAGGTGTGCTGCATGCTGCCCATAAAATCCAAGTGGAGAATTGTGCGTTTTGTGGGGGCGGAGGATCAGGCAAAAGGGGGTGCATTGGAAGTGGATGTGGAAGTGGCATCGATAAGCTGCCAGAAACAGTGCAGCGCGTGTGCCACATAAAAATGGCATTTTGACATGGCCACCGAGTGGCAACCATGCAGAGGGTGAGGGCCAGCAAGGCTAATAAGCATTATGAATGCTTTCCATGATGTCATTGCACTTGCGTGGATCTCTACACCCGCTACTTGGCGGGCTTCAGGGGTATATTGTGTTCGTTTATGGTACGTAACGGACATAAAGTTGGAGCTAACCTGTAGCAGTCGAAAATTCCTGTGCCAGCATGGCTATGAAAGTTTGTTTTTCTACCCAACTACTCATGGTAGCGGTTATTTTATAGCGCATCGACTGTATCTTGTTGCTCATGCCTTGCATTTCATGGACAGCAGCCTTCAGAGCGCTTCGCTTCCCCTACTCAGCCTGGATGTCCTTACAAAACGTTGCAATTGAAAGCCAGAAAATGGGTTGTGTGTTGCTTGAACGCCTGCCAATCCAGGGGTAGCAAAAAGTAATTGAAACTTAAATAAACAGAATGCTGGAGCAGCGACCGCAGGGCCGAGTGCAAACAGTGGCAAAAAAAAAGGAACAGAAACAGTAACGGAACGGGTTAAGTGGCCTAACTCTGGCTCCACAGTGCAGTGCAGTGCAGGGAGTTGCATGCAGCATGAATGAGGCCACACACATACACAAACACACACACACACAAGCGGAGATCGACATGCTCATTCAGGCTCAAGTGCCTGCCACTTGTGCACAGCCTCATTAGCACAAACAAAAAAATTGCACACACAAAGAGCCCGTTTTGTTCTTGTCATTATTATTATGCTCGTTTTTTGCGTGTTTCCACTCAGTACTACTCCTTTTTTCCTGCTGTTTTTGATGATTTGATATTGTTTGTCATATTTGCTTTGGCTTTGGATTTGCTTTGCCTTTATTTAGGGAACTTCGCTTCCCTTCCTGTTGGCAGGCTGGCAACATTGTAGGTAGCAGCATGTTGCCAGGCTTCCAGAACATGTTGCTTCCAGAAACATTTTCCAGCGTGCTAATTTTGGAAATGCTCGTACCGTTCCCTTGTATATATTGTCTTGTTTTCGGGGTGGGTGTGTTCTTGCGACGGCTGTCCTCCACTGTCTCGACTTGATGAGTTTTCATTCGTTTGTCAACTTGTCGTAGGCGCGGATTGTTCTCTCTGCTCTAGGGTCGGGTCCGTCTCACTGCGTGTCTTTTTCTCTCAGGTTCGGTCCGTGTTTAGTCGGGTTCGGGATGTGCGTCTGCTGGTGGGTCTTGTTTACACGCCAAATAACGCGTCTTTGTGGTAGCGTTCCCGTTTGCGTTCGCGACCGTGACAGCTGTGGATCATTTTGAGATTTTGAGAGGGCCATCCATGCATTCTGAGAGCTCTTTAATTATACAACAACTAAACATTGTTTATTATTCATTCCGACTTGCAGCTCACTTCCGGCATCAGCAGCTGGACCCAAACACACAAACGCTCATAGCCATTTAAGAGAGTGCCAACTGAAGGAAATTACTAATGCCAAATGGATTTCGTCTAAATAAAACTCCAAAAAAACAAGACCAATAATTAAAAGGCGGAAATCGAAATGAATAAACAATCGATTGATTGTCGGCAAAATGTGCAAATTCGTGGAGTGCAAATCAAAAGCAAACTCGAGTGAAAGTGAAAAATTGAGGCCTCAAGAAATTATTAATTACCGCAGTGCTTGTTAGCGGAATTCACCCAAGGAGAGCGAGGCAGACATTTTGTTTATGAGCCAATTTGCCAGCCCCACCCAAGCAACAGCAAGCTGAAGCAGCGAGAGACATCTATAATTTGCATATTCCCCAGCATCCCACACTCCCCAGTCGGACCCCAACCTACCCCATACACACATACACACACATAGCAGAACAGACAGCGCGGCGTGTGAAGTTGAAGTGTTTATTAAATAGTCTTGCCGCAAATGTCGGGCGTCTTCTGAGCAAAAGACAGTGCCTGCCCCCAGCTCGCGAAGTACTCCCCATCATGCTGGAGTTGCAACTGCGCAAAGATTTGTCAGCGAACTCGGGCGATATCAACAAAATGAGACAACACCAGGCATTGGATACGGGCCACAGACAGCAACGAAGGAGACACGAGCCTGACTACAGAGCCTTCCAAACGAGACTCTGCCTGATGCTGCTCGCCGTTCTGCTGCTGAGCACGGGTAAGCCGAAACTCTGTTTAGTTTTAATATTGGAAAACCAACTACAGTATAAAAAACATTACATAAATTATATAAGCGAGAGCTGCCTCTGTGGTGACTTCTTCGAAACATTTCCCGCTCTTAGCTGAAACAAATTTGCCATCATCGAACACGATCTTAGACTCTTGAGAATCGAATACACATTTCAAGAGTTTCATTTGTTCAATTTAATGAAGTATATTTCTCTGGCTTCCTTAGTCCCCTCGCTCCGTCGAGCTGTCATCCCTTTTCAAGTGGTATCTGCGCATCTGGGAGCTTGGGGGAGGCTGGGACAATGTCAACCACAATCACATTGCCTGCCCCAGTGGCAGTTACATTCGACCATTCCACTCGAGCCCTTAACTCAATTGACTGCTCCACTTTTCGCCAAAGTCCGCTGGAAGCCAACATCACTACTGTGGCTGCTCAATTAAATGCCTGGAGTGTGTCTGGCCCGCCAGATTCCCAAGCAGCGGAAAACTTTCAGCAAACTCCAAACTCCAGCGCCAACTCCAATAAAAATCGAACGGCAGCAGCAGGCCAGGCCCAAGGGGTGTGAGTGATGATACTCACACCCTTTGAGATAGATAGAAACAATCGATACTTGAAATACTTTGGTGGGGGTGGAGCGGCACAGAAAATGACATTCGAAACAACACTTTGGCATAATAAAATACAAATAAAAGGGGCACAAGAGCAGCAACATAGCTCCGACGCCAATTGATTGACGAAGTGGCAAAGATCTACTTGAGAGCGAGGCGGCACGGAGTGGTGTAGAGTGGAGTGAAGCTGTGTGTAGTGGCGAGAGGAGCAATAAAAAGGATTGACAGCCCCGAGGCAGTCGGTCGGCGATATCTAAGCGGTGTGGAGGTGTCAGATACAAGGACAGGGGACAGCCACTCGACTGGCTGTCAATGACAATCAGCAACGGAATCAGATTCCCGTATACTCACTTCTAAATGCCTGTTCCCTGACGGTGACAGGAGAAGCCATAGCCGTAGTCGTAGTTGGGGTCGGGGTCGGGAGTCTCATTCGAAGCTGAAGCTGAAGTGCTAATGCTGATGCTGAACGCTTGTAAAAACTTTTTAATGACGCTGCCACCCGCCGTTCCCATTCGAAACGAAATGAACAGACCCATTCCATTCCATTCTTTTCCGTATCCACATTTGCCAAAGCAAATCTGTGTCAGGCTGTTGCTTCATTACTCCAGTGTCGACGTGGCCGCTAATGAACAGCTTAAGCAGCATCCAGTCCAAATGCGCATCGCATTTCAATGGGAGCCGAAGCCGGGGCCGGTGCCAGAGTCCCGCCATTGAAGTGCATTTTTCGGCTATCAGGGAGCTGGGGAATCGACTGGTAGTGGCGATGGGAGAGATTTGTGTGCCGTGATCCGTGACTTGTTCGGAAATGTTGTTGTTCCATTGGGTCTTTGGCACTCAGGCACTATTGTGAAGATTTTGCAGAGTGCCCCCAGTGCTAGTGCTGGGGTGTCGAGAGGGGTGTGTGCATCAGCAGTGCTTTATTAGATGGAGGTGAGGGCCCCCGTTCCGTCTCTAATGGATGGGGGTTAATGGGTTAGGGTTAGCAGCAAAGTGGTGTATTTGTAAAAGTGAATTAGAGCTGAGTGGTTGAGTGTGGCAATAACTATTCCCCCGGGAACTCTCTGGAATATGCCCATAAATCCCAGCACAAAGTGTACCACGGATTAGTTATAGTTTTCATTTGAATTGATTAGAGATTTATATTTGTTGGTCCACTGACTCCCCAAACCATATTCCGTCGATTACAAACTGCACCAAATCTGCATGGTCCTGCTCAAATTTCCATCAAATCCGCTGGACAATACTACGATCCATTTATAATCAATTTCGTCATATGGCAAAATGCAATATTATTTTGGCATTCATTCAAATATGGCAACTAAAAGTGCGATTTGCGCTGCACAAATCAATTTCATGAAATCTCCCATGCATAATGGCTGGAAGAGGTCAAGAGAAAACGTCGACTAGTAGATACTCAGTAATTCAATTCAATTTATTTAAATTCCCACCACGGAGCATTGGCCGCTGATTTTGAGCAGATTTGATTGATTTTTCTGGGGAAACAATACGGTACCAAACAGGCATACACGATTCTGATGAAACATTGAAATATTAATTGCAAAATAATATTGACAAGCGGCAAACAAATTACAAATAAAATATGTAAATTTTCTTGCGGTTCTCCGCTATGTAAATTCTGCCAGTGGCATATGCATTTTGAAACCGATGCGGCACAGGCTGCTGGGTGGTTGGCTGCTGGGTGTGGCAGTGCAACATTTTTCGGCTGCCAAACAAATTATGCCAGTCACTCAAAAATTGCATTAAGGTAAATAGATCGAAGCTTGCGGCTTGCGGGGGAAAATCGTCGCACAGATGGTGCTCCGGTTTGGGGGTTTTGGGGCAGGTTCAGGCACTGCATCTGTGTTTGTATATTATTAATGCAATTTGTAATTATTTGTTTCCTGCACACAGAGAACATGAGAGAACACGCCATATCTGTGTCCCGATCTGTATCTCTGTTTGTTTGCTCGCCTGTGTTTTTGTGTTCTCAAATGTTTGTTTGTTTATCTGTTTGCTTTTGCTATAAAACGCAATTATCGCGCACAAATAACAAAGCATAGTGCAAGCCAAATGCAGTCAGGGGTCACAGTCACACACCAGAAATCCCACTTTGAATTCCTCCCTGCTTCATGGATTCCCCACTTTGGGAGTTTCGGAAAAAGCTGCAAAAGTTGTCGCCGGCATCAGAGCATTTCCGTAATTCGCATTTCGCATTTTCGCATTTTCGCATTTGCGTTGCCATAATTAACTTATTTTGTACATTAGCAACAGATTTTGTTTATTAACGCATGTGCGCTTGCTCTCAGTAATGCGATCCCGCCTCATTCTGTCCCATTCTGCTTCATTCTGCAGGAGCCAAGCTATGGCCCAGCCCAGGAGCGGCTTTAATGTGCGCGGGGCCAGGGAGCATTGGGGCGCATACTTATCTTTTGGCATTGCGAAGCGAGTTTATTTGTTTTCTGCTTGTGGTTGGCTGACTGTGTAGCTTGGGGTGTTCGGGTGGTTTCGGGTGTCTGCTTGGGTGGTATTTTGTGCGGCTGCTGTCGCATAATTTATTTATCATTAGCAAAATTTGGCAAGCATTGGTATTCGCTTCTTTCTCTCCACTGTCTGCCACAAGAAGTTGCCGCTGCTGAGAGTGTCTGTGTATTTGGCTAAATAGTTGAAATAATTAGGCTCATTAGAACTTTTGTAGGTTTCTGGCCGTTCTTGAGCGTTGCCTTGATTGACAAGTGCAAATTGGCATTAATGCCAGAGTACTTGGAGCTGGTAAAGTACTCCACAAAAAAGGGGCGACAGCCTTAAGAAAGAACAAAAGGGATATTAAGTCTTTAAATTGATGTAATCTGGTAATCATTGGAAAAGTTTTCCATTTCGCAGACGGAAGCCATGAAAAATATTCACAAATGTTGGAACATAATTAAATTTCTCTTTGAACATTCACAGACATTAAAGATTATGGGAGAATTCTAAAAATTGAACTAAAATTTAAATTCATCTGCAAATATGGTCGCTCTTCTGTTCACTTTTATTACATTTTAATTAAAAACTAGTCTGGTACAGAGTTATAATTAGGAAAAGCTGATTAGTCCAAGTGCCATTTTTTGCGCGTTTCCAATCAATTGCCCGTCAATGTCCGTTGCCATATTTTTGCAAATTCATCCAAAAATATTTGTTGGCTGGTAACGAAATTTTCTGATATTTAAACTCCATCTGGCAATGGTTCACGTTTAATTAAGCAACGTTGCCAAAAAATATCTAGGAAAAATCACAGCGACAAAATCGCAACTGGCGCAGGAACAATTTCGATGCTTTTGTTTCCAGTTTGTTTGTTGGTTGTTTTGTTGCATTTCGTTTTTGTTGGTTGTTGGTTGCTGGAAGGGCAGGGCGCACCCGGACCCCTGCCACTCCTCCAAATAACAAAAACTTGTTGTTTTGCTGGGTCCGAGTGGCAACTGTGTGCGAAGTGCAACAGCCGCAACAAAAACGACATAAACTTTTAACAATTGCAAAACCAAATAAACAAAACGGAACGGAGCGGAGCGGAGAGCCGAACAAAAAGAAAACACTGAAAACGGCTGCGGGCTATAAATCTGCAATGGCTGTGGGGTTCCTGGGGTGCCTGTGGGGGATGAGCTTTTGGTTGCTGGAGCATGGGCGTTTGCATAAACCCATTTACACATATAAAAGCAAACACCAACACACACACATATGCGCTCTCAGATACAGTCACACATGCAGAATGTATGCAGGGACAGAGAGAGAGAGAGAGAGAGAGAGAGAGAGAGAGAGAGAGAGAGAGGGAGAGGCAGAGGGCTGGTGCGCCTGCTGCGTAAATAACTAATAAGGCTCGAGGATAAATTTCAAGTGCAATTTGGTGAGTATCGTAACCAAATACGAGCACAACATGTAACAAACAATAAGGAATTATTTGAGAGAACGAAGCTTTAGATACTCTTTGGGAATAAAGGAATGAATCCGGTTGAGTGGCCAACTTGGAATTGAGGAAACTTCGAGGAGGAATCGAGGAATTGGGGAGGAAAATCATAGCACCCGTTTGCAAGGGTATACAGTCGCGCCATGAACTGGTGCAGGATCAGACAGCCAGAGCCAGAGACTGAGGCAGAGTAAAAACTCACACAAAAGTTAAGCGTGGCAAAATATACGAGTATCTCTGCGTTTTGTGTGCGGCACGTTTCTATGACTTAATTAAAATTATGAATGTTTTTGCTGCTGCTGCAACATGCCAGAGAGTTGTGGCATGACCAAAAAACCGGCCAAGCCGGCACAGCGGAAGAGGGCGACGGCGGACGGCGGACGAGGGACAAACAGTCAGGATGTCCATGGCAAATGCGCTTTTTGCTATCGAGGCGAACAAAC